GTGTGTGTGTGTGTTGTGCTGGAATTTATGTGTACACCATCTGTGATTTATCTGGTACTGCTGCTGCTGCACTGTGGAATCTCACCAGAAACACCCTCCTTATTCCGCTGGGGCGACCCAGTATCAAAACATGACGGATTGGATTTCTACTGTCTCAGACAGTGATTCATGTACCTGTCTGTGTGTGTGTGTGCTGCTTAATCCTAACATTGGCTAGTGTGTTTAGGCTGTCCACATATTACTGTAGAGGCTGTACAAACAAAGACTGAATGAAGTGAAACATCTAAAGAAAAAATTTACTCATTTTTAATATCACTATTTTCACAGATTGGTGGAGCAGCAACAACAAAAACACCGTCTTCAGCAAACCAACATCATATTTCTTCTGCTTTCTAACCCCCCTACTGACCTGCTCATAAAGTGACATAGCAAACTTCTGATGCGTGATGCAAGACTTTGAAGTGCAGGCATCTGTCTCTTCCGGCACAATGTGCAGGTGGATCCTCTCCAGTATGTTCTCCTGCAAAACAACATGACATCTATCAGGTGTGGGACAAAATATTTTAAATTCTGTTGTTCTGTTATGTTGTAAAGCCACAAGCTATTTATTTTTTAAGCCAAAACAGACAAGAGAACCACACTGCAATACCTTTCCAAAGCAGAGTTCAGTTTTAAGAATCACATTGTAAATCCTGACAGCAGAAGGAACACATTTAAAGAGCAAGCTATTTTCCATTTTAGCTCCCACCTGTTTCTATGGAGTTCTTGTGAGTTTATAAAATATTAACGCTGCAAGGTAGGCCTGCAAAGGTTGCAGGCACAATTCACAGCCTGTTAATCTGACACTGGCTAACTCCTCACATAAATTCTGCACCGGCACACTACTGCCAATGCATTACATGGGGAATGCTCAGGGCAAAGATCTGTGTGGGATTAAGAATTAAGATTGTCTATAAAAGATAAAGTTGGCACATAAGCTTCAGTCTTAAGATGTAAAAAGTCATTGTTGAGTTTTTGTATGGGGGGATTTGGCAGATAAAGAAAGAAACAAAGAACTAAAGTTGCTTTCTTGACCTCTAACTTCATTATGTGGTAGGTTGGTGAGTAGTTTCTTATTTCAGAAGAAGCAAAGTGAATAGATGTTCACACTTGTGCAACCAGTGTTCACATATAGTACAGCCCTCCACTTCTGTTTCTGTTTATCATTGCAGGGTAATTGGACTTCCTAACTGGAAGAATAATGATTGAGGGAGGGGAAAAATCAGGATACATCTGTGCTGTTTGGGTCTACAGTAATTAAGCAGAAGTGACCAAAATCGTGAGACTAAAATAAACGAATTAAGCTAAAACAAAACATGGTTAAAAATGAAGGATAGAAAATGCTGCAGGATCTGTTTTATATTTGACAGTTCGAGTCAAAATAAAACTGAAACAAAAATACATAAAAATTACACTGCAGTTAGGGAAAAACACAAGTTCTGGCCAAACAATGCTTTGTTGCGCAAAACAGAGCTGAAGAACTGGAACTAATATGTAAAAATGATGAAGGACGCATGAAATCGACTTTAAAAAAAGGCACAGAAATGCTGCGACATAATATGGTAGCACAAAACAGAGAGGTTCAAACACAACTACGCCGCTTATATAACCTGTCATGATGATATTTAGCGGCAATGTGGCAGGGGTTGATGGGAGGGACAGAAGCTCTTTCAGTGACCTCGCCGAACAGTTTGTTGTAGTGCATTACCCCGAACTGTGTGGCAGGGTTAACACACATACACACATCCCTCTCTCCATACGCTAGTCTCCCTCCCTCAGGATAGCCGGGTTGCCACAGGAACTTACAAAGCACTCTGCGGCATCGTCCATGAAGCCCAGCTGGAAGCGCTGCTCGTCCTTAAAGGTCTCTGCCAAGGCGTGACGCAGGTTGTCAGAGGGCAGGGCACGCTCCCGACTGTGCTGGAACTGGGAGAAAATACCCTGAAGAGGAGAGCAAGAACTTGATTGCATGCTGACTATGGAACATTTTGTTTATTTAAAAGGATTTGTGTCACCCTCGCTGCTCAATACGCAGTGTGGATAAGTGAGCGGAGCAGTTGCCACATTTGTAATGACAAACAGTAACAGTAACTAGAAAATAATGTCCGCTCCCGTTAAATATGTTTGTGATTGTATTCTACCTTTAATGCACAAAAGATGCATGATTCTCCCAGACAGAAGTGTCCAGGTAGCTGCCTCAAGCTGCGTCTGAAGATGTCCAGCTGCCAAAGTACCTTCACAAGGAAAAGAGGGGGAGGTTACCTTGATTGACACTATAAAACTTAACAATGACCTGGACATTTGAGCCTCTTAATTATAGCCCAAAACAAAGAAGCAAACATAAGAACAGGTGCTTGTTTGGTTTTTTTAAGTGCAAAGTACACGTACACGCCATACACGTATGGCATTTAGACATAAGGACAGAGCCTCCAAGATCATGAGGATGAGGACAGGCGAGAAGAGCCAGTCCCTCACACAAACAAAGCCGAAGGTAATGGTCATCTTCAACCAGCTCATTGGTTGTCTCATCCTCTGAGTCACAGTCTCCCGAGAGTGACCTCACTGTGGGGCTGACTGCAATAATGAACCAACTAGCCACCAGGCCAGTATCCCAAAACTCAAAAGCAACCTTCAAGTACATTAATAGATTGCTGACAATCTCTCACAAATTTAGACAGTTAGACAGTTAGACAGATAGCTTTTAAATTTACATAAATGTGACATAAATGGTCACATTTTAAGAGGGTAGAAGACAGACAGCAACAAGTGAATAAACAAGCAATAAGAATAAGAGGAAAGTAAAGAACACCTTAATACTTTATCCAATAAAAATATAATGCAACAAATACTTCTTGTGCAAGTTTTTCAGAGTCATTCAACCTCTGAATGAATTTTAATAACTATGGTGATCTTTAAAGTTTTCAAGCACTTTACTATACAATACCTGTAGAACTAATGACATTCACATCATCCTTTACTGTTTGTATTAGCACTAATTAGCAAATGTTCGCATAGTAACATGCCATTCTAAGATGGTAAATATTATACCTGCTGAAAAATCAGCAAGTTAGCATTAGTGTTTGGGAATGATAGCATCATGATATCAGCATTTAGCTTAAAGCCCTGCTGTACCTAGCTAGCATGCTGCTATCATAGCTACAGCCTCTTCATGCTGTTGGTTTTTTTTTTTTATTGGCTTTATTGGATATCAGCAGCCAAACAGAGACAGGAAAAGGCGGGGGAGAATTAGGGGGGACGACATGCAGCAAAGGGCCCCTCATACATGGTGTGCACACTCCACCAGGCAAGGCATAAGGGCACCCGCGTCTGGTTACTTTTTGATAAGAAACTGAGTTTTTGTCTGAAGATATTATTCCGTTTTATAGCGAGTCCTACCTGTACCGCACTGTTGAGGAAGCAGCTGTTTTGGCCCGGCTCGTTCAGCAGTCCTTTGGTGGGGGCCAGAGACAGCATGCTCCCTGGCTGGTAGGACTTCCCCAGATTGCCCCCCGGCTTCCTGAAGAACTTGACCCATGCCATTGGATAGTGGGGTCTGCCTTTAGACAGGTGGGATAGTCAGACGACGGCAGGGGAGGGCGGTCGGTGCTGGGATCAGATCCCTCTGCCCCTGGACGAGTGACTCCCAAACAGTCTGGGGCTAAGTTATTCCACGAGCTGCAGCAGCTGCCCTGCTACACATGGGCTTCTAGTCCATTTCTGCAGCTCATGTAGAAGGTCCTTTTACTTTGTCTGCTTATTAAAATAAAAGGGTTTCCCCCCCAAAAAAAATACAAAAAATTAGAAGTCAATACAAAAAAATTACAATCCAAGTCTTTGTTTTGGGAAGCCTTTGATGATCAGCGGTCTGATACTTGTGATAAGATGCGTTTTGACTTCGAGGGAACATGCCTCGGTCATCTTGTAGTTTTGATGGTTCTGCTCAAAGCTTCACAGGAGCTTCAGAAGGGCTCATGGACCCCTGCAAGCAAATGCTGCCACATGGTCCTGATGCTACTGAAGATATCCAGCTGCAGTCAACCGTCCTTCGCAGAGGCTCGTCTACAGTAAACTTTTATCCAGGCTGGACAGCAAACACGGCTGGGCTGCGTCAGAGAAAGAGAGAATGAGATTACACGAGATTAAATGAGATTTTAAATGACATTATGTAGCTTATTATTAGTCACTACTTTTTCTAGCATGTACGCACTATTGTTTTCTAGTATGTTTAATTTCTGCTTCTACTGGGCAACAGTCATTTTATAAAACAATACAGTGATTCTTGAATAACAGGAAGACTAACTCTACAGCTAACTCTACAGTCTTCATTCTTGCACTCATTTCTAGGTTAAATGACAAACTGGACTTTTTAGACATGTCAACAAAGCTTATATATTAACCTTTACAAACAGCCTTTGCACTGGAGGTGTGTCAATCTGAAGCCGGCCCCAGGTAGAGTTGCACAATAACATTCAGACGGATTCAATTTCAGTTTCCGATACAATAGATAACAACAGCCAAGAGACATTTAAAAAGAATAAAGAAACTGTTGACCTAGAGCAGACTTTGCATTTATGTAGAGTTGTAGACTATAATTGAGCCTTATATTCATTTTCTAATTGTAGAGTAAAAACATAACACATGAATGTGAAGCATTTTTGCTTGATACCTGAAAACGTATTAATTATCATAATTACCATTGATTTCTTCTGTCAAACACCCAACTGCCCTATAGTATTTACTATACTTTATATCTGTGTCCCTTTTGTAAAATAACACAGCTTGGTTCTACACTGACACGTTATCATGCGTTTTAAACGTCTAAGTTTGCAGTTTTAGATCCAGCTGAGAGCTCAAACTGAAGGTCAACAATCTGTGGCTTGAGATTTGAACATGTCAAAATAAAATAAAAATACAGCTTCAAGTTTCTTTTGTGTCCCATTTTGTCAGTTTTCCTGGCATCGTCATTCTTTTCTAAACTCAACTACAAAAGAGTACTGGCCTGACCTATTTTTTAACACGAGAAGAGCAGTGCAGGACATTATAACAAACCACTGAAGATGCAGTTCAATTTACGAAACTTGCAGCCCATGCAGCTTAAACAAGGCAGTGAGAAAGACCAACACAATGTCCAGTGAATGTGCAGCGCTCAACAGACTACTTTGTGAGGTTTGATGGATGAATATGTTTGTGCTGAGTGAGGCAGTGGAAGCTGTGTCTAGGTTATTATAATAGTGAATACCCCAAGAGGTACATAAAGTCACGGCCTGTAAGTTTTACTATGTTTATTGTGATTTTTATGATATTCTTTTGTGTCATTCTACATGATATCAAATCTTATCCTGTAACTTTATGGAAAGAAGTTGTGGCAAAACAGATGTATTTCCAGCACTGAAAAAGCACAAAGAAGCCACAATGAGCAATAATTCCTTGTGTGATACATGGTGATTCATCCTCTTTTAGTCTCCAACACCTAAAAAAAATAACCTCAAAGAATAAACCTCAAACATTTTGTTATTCAGGGTGAGGACAAAAAAAAAAAAAAAAAATACTGCCCTACTTTGTGCAAACAATGAAACTTCCCTCTTGTGACAGTCTCCAGAACCACATTAAGTTTCAGCCAAAACAAGTTGGACAACATTTCCATCCTGGTATTTCAGGAATCCTCAATGGATGATGATGTTGTTAATGGTGCAACCTGAAGTTTATATTTACATGTAGCATTTGCAGTCACCTACACATGATTCAACTAAACATGCTAAAGCGTCTCTGCCTCTGTACTTTGCAACTGGACTCCATAGCAACAGCATTCCAAAGCAATCACTTAAGCTCACCGTTGCTTAAGAGCTGCTGTTTTCGGATTAGTTTCAGGGCTGGAGGGCCGAGTGGAAAACTGCACGCTGCACCTATACAGCCCACCTTTACCAATGACAACACATGCCCTGACATGCTGGTACTATCTGTATGTATCGCGATAAGCTGTCTCCGGGCTACATAATGTTTCTTGAATCTATTATTGTTATATTCTCATAACATTTTCCTTTATTGTCATTATTGCAAGTGTGTTACCACCAGCAGCTCAATCACTGAATCACAATTCAACACTTCTCACAGTTAAGGAAGAGGACCTATTTTTAAAAATAACGTACAACATAACCGTGTAGCGTCTCTTCCGTATCAATCTGCCAGCGAGCAAAAACAATACCACACATCCACATGTCCACATTATTCAACGTCAATTTGACGGCATGCAGAATGAACGCCATGTTTTGTATTGCTTGTTTGTATGACATTGCTGACAACGGCGAGAGTAAATATGGCTCTGCCTTCCTGGTCCAAGGAATTTTATTGCATTATGGTGGTCCACTTGAAAAACTGCCAGCCTCGCTTATGTTAACCTTATCTTTTAGTCCGAGCAAAATTGGCACTTGCTGACTACAATTCAATGACATCATTTTAAAATATTATGCTCTCTTGCTTAAGGGCAAAGAGCATCAAATAACAGTACACTTACTTTAAACATTTTTGCCCTTACTTAACAAGAACCTATATTACTTTCACTGTCATTTCATTTTCTTTTGGGCTATTTTGAAGCCATTGCTGAGAAGAAATCCAATCCAAAGAAAAAAAAAGGCAA